TGTTCGTGTATATATTGATGATCTTGTGGTGTGGGGGTCCACTCTTGAACAACATGATCAGCGACTATTAAAACTGATTAAAAGAATTCGAGCACATGATTTAAAGTTGAACAAGAAAAAGTGTCTGTTTGGAGTCACAGAGATAACCTTCTTAGGTAACAAGCTGTCTGCAAATGTGTGGAACCAGATCCAGCTAAAGTACAAGCCCTCTTGGAAATGCCTCCACCTAATGACAAGAAGGGAGTTTTACGTGCCTTAGGTATGGTAAATTTCCTAGGAAAATTTCTGCCAAATCTATCTGCTAAAGCCACACATATGAGAGCATTGTTACAAAATGACAAAGAGTTTGTGTGGTCTTTCTTACATGATCAAGAATGGAAGAGGTTAAAGGAGATTCTGACTACTGAACCTGTTCTTGATTTTTTTGATTACACTCGTCCAATTAAGATCTCTACAGATGCTTCTCAGGATGGACTAGGAGCTGTGCTGCTTCAGGCTGGTGGAGATTCCTGGAAACCTGTGGCCTATGCTTCCCGATCCCTGACGGAAACTGAAAAAAGGTACTCTCAAATTGAAAAGAAGACTTTGGGGGTACTATTTGGCTGTGAGAAATTCCATGGATATGTTTATGGATTACCTACTTTCACAGTAGAGACAGATCATAAACCATTAATATCGATAATTCAAAAGAACTTAAATGATATGTCACCCAGAATTCAACGCATGATGATGAAATTGCAAAGATATGATTTAAATCTAGTGTATACACCTGGGAAGCATATCATTGTGGCTGATGCACTGTCACAAGCACCGATGTCAGAGAGCAGTCACCTCAGTGAAGAAGTGGAAGGATATGTGAGTACAGTGATTTCATCTTTACCATTCTCAGATGAGATGTTAAAACTTATTGTGGAGGAAACGACTAAGGATGTTGAATTGCAGAGAGTGATTGTTCTTCTTCAAGAAGGATGGATTAAAGGCAAGTGCTCACAGTTGTAAGTAAAAGTGAAGACGTCGAAGATCTTGATGAAGAATAACCTTATTACAGAATAGTAGTGACAAAGTACAGGCAGCACTTCGGATTCAGCGGAGTCAGAATGAACCACGAACATCCTAAGCTCAAACATTTTATACTCTATTACGTTCATCTTTCCGCATGTAAATTAAGTTTCGTCTTAAATGTAAATTGCGGATAACAATGAAAGTGATAGCCTAGTTTCATTTGAGCAAAATTATCACAGGTTTTTTTTTGCTTGTTAAAAAACAGGATTGTTTAAATTTGGAAAATGTTTCTAGGGTTTGGAAGAGGTAATCAAGAACCATCACAACCAACGGGAGCGCCCAATATTGATCATTGAACTATCTGCAATTTGATGTTTCACCATAGAACACATACAACATAGCATCATGCATTAGCACATAATTAGAAAGATACAAACACAAACGGCAGTTTTAAAAGTTACATCCCAAATCAAACCAAAATATGCAATGAATTGGACAGAATGTCTGGTTATTATCAATAACGATTGAGAAGTGATTTAGAGTTGTTGTAATACATGTTCTCTTGTCTGACACTATTACCCTAGTAAAATTATTGTGAAGATTAGTTAAATTGATTTCACATGATTCATAGTTATTCTGGGGTGCTCCACACAATGGATGTTTTTTCAAAGCATCACACTCACAGATAAACCCAAATGGAGTTTTGTCACTTTCTCATACTTCTTTTGTGTGAAAAGTGACACTGTCTTGCCTTGTGTCCCAAA